TGTCTACTCAATTTGTTAAACAAGTTTTTGTTCAACTATATATCTAAATCTAAAAATAAAATTTTCTACAATGTTTTATTAATTAAAAATTCTTTGTCTATTCGTCTTTTTAAAAAGTAAGGTCTCTGAACTTCTTGTGCTAATTTATCTAAAATTAGCTCTATTTGTTTTAATTGTCTATGAATTTCTTGTTTTAGCAATCACATTATCAAAGGTGATTGTTTCTGCAAGTATTATATGATCCTTTTTGGCAGGATTAGAGGTATTTTTTCTCTATTTATTTCTTGATTTTTAGTATTTGTTGTATTCAAAAATCTTTTATTCACAACTTTCTAATTTTTATCTTCCTTGTCTTTTTTTTTTTTGTTTTCAACTTTCTAATATCTTCGTCTTTTTTTCTTGTAGTTTTATCAAAAAACTATTGTCTTTTGCCTTGTCTGTTTCTTTTCTGTTTATCTTGTTGTCATTCAAAAATGCATATATTTGTTTTGGCTATACATTGAGTTTTATCTTATTAGGTATTTAGAGGCTTGGCTGGTCTTCTAATTTGGTACGCTATGTATTTGGCCCAAGTAGATATTTTTCCTTTTATCTTTCCTCTTTTGTTTTGATACTCATGGTCTTTTGTGTAAGTAGCTTAAGAATTTATTTCTACAGGTATTGCAAGTAATAGACCTTGCTTGTTATATTCTTGGAATAAAAGTCTTTTTAATTGTTTTCTTTATCTTTTTTTTTCAAGTTATATATTTAGAAATCTGTATTTCTAATTAAGTTTTTGTCTTAGATACCTTATTACAGAAAAGAAAGTTCAGTCTATAGTCACTTGGCTATGTTAAATAACCAAGTTATAAGTTTGAAGGCAAAAGCATCAGAAAGAAATCTTTTGGTTTTGGAAGCAGCAAGAGAAGAGTTTTTTCAAAAGACTTGACTTCAGAAGATTATTACCAAAAGAGATAGGTTAAGAGTTAGAGTAGCGAACTTAGAGAAGGAGGTACAAGAATTAAGAAGAAAAGTTTAAGAGAATAGTAATAGAAATTATTTTTGTAAGAGACATGACAAAAATCAGATGATTTTTTAAAGGGGGAAGGGGATAAAAAATTTAAAATTATATATAAAGACCTGATCAAGATATATAGTAAGAGGGGGAAAGGGGGTAAGCCTCTAATAAAAAAAAAATCAGGTGATAAATGATACTGCCTAATATTTTGTAAATAAAATAAAATTTTAAATCTAACTAATTGTAATAAAATAATAATAATTAATAGAGTTATAATTAATAAATAATAATAATAAGTAATAAAGAATAAACTAATTATTATAAAATATTGAGTAAGGTTCTTAACAGGAGAAGAATAAAGAAAATTGTTAAGTTTTGATAATAATAGTGGGTTGCCAATTCTGTTTCTCATAGTAGTGGGCAAGACAATTACTATTATAATATTTTAATAGTGTTTGTTCTTTCAATGTTAAAAGTTTATAAGTTCTGTTATTTAATTTAGCTTTGATAATATAAGAAATAGTTGTGTAAAATAGTAAAGTATAGAATTATTAGAATTTGAGTAGAATATAGGATTAGACGCAGAATTAGATGTATAATTAAACTTATATAGATTATTAAGATTTCGTAAATAATGATAATAAATACTATGAAAAAATTAATAATCCTGATTTAAATTAATAATTACATGCATGCTTACCTAAAATTAATATTTAGCAGCAATTATTTTGAACTTTAATTATGAATTTTAATTAAATTTCATTTCTTTCATTATATAAAAATTTACAATTTTATTGGCTAATCAACATGTGATATCTTCTCATGATAAAAATTTATAATTTTGATTGGCTAAACCAATATAGGATTATCATTTTCTTATTTGGGACGGTCTTCCCTGTTATCTCGAGTACGTATTAGACAAAAAAAAGTAGTTACATGAATACACAGATGCTTATAAAAGATAGAAATTTTTCTTCGCAGTTTTTCTAAGTGCTGCTAATATTTTTTGGGAACCGGTATTTCCACACCCTTTTTTGGTATTTCTATACCCTATGTAGATCACTCATTTTTAAAACTTTTATCAAAGGTATCTCGACAAACACTAAGTGAAATTCGATGAACATTTTTTTCTTTGAATTCTATGGAGTCATAAAATTCAAATAAAAAAATTTCATTGAATTTTATTAGGTGGTTATCGAGATACTTTCGATCAAAGTCATGTATAAATTTGTCGCGGCTAACATTTTAATAGACGTTTAACATTTTTCTAAAACTTTCATCGAAATTATCTTGATAACCACCTAATGAAATTCGATGAACTTTTTTTTATTTGAATTCTATGAATCTATAGAATTCAAATAAAAAAATGTTTATCGAATTTCATTGAGAGGTTGTTGAGATACCTTCGATCAAAGTCATGCACAAATTTGCCACAGCTTATATTGTTTAAAATTTTATCAAAGATATCTCGACAACTACTCAGTGAATTTGATAAATTTTTTTTTTTTAATTTGAATTTTATGGATTCACAAAATTCAACTAAAAAAATTTTTACTGAATTTCATTAGGTGGTTGTCAAGACAGCTTCGATGAAATTTTTGAAAAAATTTTAAACGTCTATTAAATATTAGCTGTGACAAATTTATGCATGACTTTGATTGAAAGTATCTTGATAACCACCTAATAAAATTTAGTGAACCTTTTGTTATTTGAATTTTATAAATCCATAGAATTCAAAGAAAAAAAACTCATCGAATTTCACTTAGTAATTGTTGAGATACCTTCGATAAAAGCTTTAAAAATGAGTGATCTATATAGGGTGTGGAAATACCAAAAATAGGGTGTGAAAATACTGGTTCCCTATTTTTTATTATTATTTTTTTTTTTGTAAGTAAAAAAAAAAAAAAAAACTTTGAAAAAAAATTTAACGAGAACATGCAACTATATATTATGCTCAATAGAAATTTAATATTGCATTAAAATTAATTTATAAAACACAAAATCAAATTTAAAGTTTTTTAAATAAGGTAATTCTTTATTTATTAATATTCTTTATTTAAGTATATTTATATGACAGTTTGCAGGCTTATTATAAATATGTTTGTAAGTCTACAACTAAGAATACACCTATAACTGAGGATATGCTCTTAAACAATTTTCTACAGTAGGCTTTTTTATGGGACTTAGAACACTTCTTGCTTTAACGTTAAAGATAAGATAATCTACTCGAGCTTCCAAATCATTTGTGTAATAATCTGCAAACTTAGAGCATACTCAGGACAGTCCCTTCTGTTCTCTAATAACTACATCTAAGAAGACTATATATTAAAGGTACGTGTATTTTCATAGACCAATCAAAGCATGATAGATCATTCTAGAAATGTTCTAGAATCGATTTCCATTTTTGGTAATATCTTTAACTATATTATCAGGATAATACGTGTCTTTTAGCTAGTATATAATTTTTTAATATGCCTTCTCTTATTCTGATATGTAAATCATAGTTTGTTTTTTTGAAATCCATATCTCTTCTTTCAATGTTGCAAGAAGCCATTTTAGAAAAACTTCACCATCCAGACTATTGGAGAAAGTCGTATCACGAATAGGAATTGAAAAGTTGGACCAGGTTCTTCAATAAAACAAGACCCGATGAATCACTGCGAGCATGTCATGTATTATTTGTTGCTGAATTAAAAACGTTAATGGAAAATTTAAAACCTGAAACACGTGAAGCAAAGAAAGCTCTAGCTTTGAAATAAGACTTTGGGTTAGTGTTTAATTAACAGAAAGTAGTGAAATATGCTACGCCCTGTCCTGCTAGCACAGGGAAAAAGAGCATCCCAGCCATTGTGTGCCCTTTGTAAAAAAGAATATTTAGTTTTTGTTTAATTTTTGTCAATATTATTCAACAAATGTTTGGAATGGGGTGGTTATAGGTATAGTCTTTGTTTAATAAATATAGCAAAAGCATCTGTTTCACTTAATTAGCACAAGTTTAGAAAGTATATCAGTAAGTCGTAATTTTTGTTAATATTATTTGAAAAATTCTTGGAATGAAGTCATTATAGGTAGCAAAAACTTAACAAAGATCCAACAAACTTTTTTATAAGCTTTGTATTACTTCCTCTATGATATTGCACATCTTTACTATGAGAAATTCTTTGATTATGGTTTGCTGATTTCGGAAGAGAAATCAGCTATGTTAGGATATCTTACTCATAATTTGTTTTACAGAAATCAGGGTTGGGAAAAGGAAAAGAAAATAAAGATCTAAAAAAAAAATAAAGCGTAATAACAAAGATCCTATACCAGATCCTAAAAAGATTAAATTGTTTAGTAAGTTGAATACCTGTTTGGAACAGATAAATAGAAAATTTAATGTGATTTTTTTTTCTTCAGAACATTTTTTTGAGGGAATAGAGGCCAATAAAAAGTTTAATTTTTATGTTTCTTCTGAATATACGATCATGGATCTGTATTAACACCTTGTAGATGGACACTACATTTATATTAAAGGTAACCGCCAAAGCGGAAAGACATCTTCTATTATAGCAGCTGTAAACTTTTTACAAGAAAAGTCAAACTCCAATGAGTTACCGGTACCTGATCTCAAAGTATACCTAATTACTTTCAGTGTTGGGATTGACATAAGAAATAGAAAAATGGCCTTTTGGTTATCAATATGCAAACTATTTCATGCTAGAAATAGTAAATAGTTTTCTTTCAATGATTCAAGAGAATATGGAGCAAACGTCTTCATAATTTTTTTTAAAAAAAAAAAGAATGGGTCTCCTATTTCATTCATAATTGACGACTTTTCTAATATTTTTGAGGAACTATTAATTCTAGAAGAATTTATCAATATGTTACAATTACTCAAGAATTATTCAACCTACTGTGTACATTCATTTGTACTTGTGGGGTTGATCGATTTCTAATACAAACTGAACTTGTAACCAGCAACATTATAATTCTGTGTTTTTTTAATAAAAATGAAATAAGGATGCTTCTTAATCAATATAGCGAACAATATAGTATTAATCTTGACATATGTAGAATTTCTGAAGATATTTATAAATACACTAATGGCAACAAAGGTCTCGTTGGTGCTTGTTGCAAGGCGATAGAAACAGAAGTAATGATAGGTGGAAATAAGCTATCATTTGATCAATAGATAAAGTATTCATCAACAAGATTAATAAAGTTTATCAAGGAGCTTAGAGCTTACAAATCTATTGTTCGAGTTATTAAGAATCTTTCATCGAAACAAACGGACATTATTAGCATTGTTTTCTGCTACAGAACTTACACTTACGAGATGGGATCAGCTATTTGTTAGTTACTAATACATGCATGTTACTTACTTTCTTTTTGCTTTTAGTAAAGTGTAATAATGAAGATGGCAAAATATATCAACTTCTTGCAGAAGGAATCGTTGTTTCTAAGTCTGTAAATAAAGATTATATAAAAATAGAGTTTTTGTCACCGATTCTCTGAAGTATAATACTCTCTATGATATGTGGCTCTGATATTGATATAACAAACTACCACAAACTATAAATAAAATTGACATTAATTGGTTATTAGAAAACACTATCGAAGTAAGTATTTTATTAAATTTGGTTTTGCATATAACAATGAAAATTTTGGCTTAGTAACTCGTATTATATAGAATCTCGCTATTCAAAATATCTTTGCTCCCCAAGCTCTTAACGCTGACAATAATCTATCAGAGTATGCATTTCAGGCTAAATTTTCAGCTATTCTCAAATATTTACTATCTAATGTTTACCCTGTCCTACAATACGGTGTAATCGTTGAAGCAAAAGAACATGACATTAATAGCAATCGACGTAAACGGTTGGATATTTTTCTCTGCGATCATGATTTATCAACATATAATTTCAAACTTGTTGTAAACAAAAAAAATTTTAAAGTACATTTGGATCATGCTAATTATTATAAAAATCTGTATAGATATTTCATGTACTTGATTAACCTCTATATGAATAGCATATTAGTTGATAGGGTTGAATCGAGACACCAAGAAGTGACAATCATTAACATAATATATGATATAAATAACAGAAAAGCTGAAATAGTATACAAAAACTACAAAAAATCTATATCAATTAAACGTTCAGCATGGAAAGTAGCATTTAATTAAAATTTTGTGAATAGGATTTTGATTATATTTCTAGAATGTAAATATTTAGAAAATTACTATTAGGTCATTATTTTTTAAAATTTAAAACTGATGTTATATTAAAACTTAATTAAAAAATTGTTACAAAACACATAATAGTGTGAAATTTAATTTGCATTATATTAACATACAGCCACACCCTAAATGCACACCCCAAATGCAAGTATAATACTATGTAAAACCTCTCTAAATGCATGATCCAATTTGGCCCCAACTTATAAAAGTTCTATATTTTACTCTCTATAAATACAAACACTCTCTAAGTGCAAAATTTTAATTTTTTTTACTATGGTTCTGACAGTATGCACTTAGAGAGGTGCGACTGTACTGTAAAATTAGAAATCGCAAAAAAAAAGTTATGATTTGCGCTAGTAATATACTTCAAGCATTAGAACTGATAAACCAAATTCTCTCTCACCCGTTTTGTTTGTAGCATCTCAACAAAAAACAAAGATTGGCCAATTCAATCTTAGTTACAGTAGTTACAGTAGAAGTATGCTTATTTTTAAAAGTTTTTTTCTATCAGTCTTATCGGATAATTCTGGATTAATTTATGGATAGAATAATTTGCGCAATTGAAACTTAAAAAAAATTTTTTTAGAAAATTTAAAAAATGGATAGTTTAGTATATATACTTAAGCTTTCTTCTGAGCATTCGCTGTGTATTTTAGCATTCTAAATAATTAACCTTTATTAGAAAGGCTAGCGATATTAATATTTGAACCCATCTAATATAATAATTACTTACACATCCACCCATTATAAAATTAATATTATTTCGAATTATAGTTAGATTTTGTTCTTGTTCCTTTGATTGATGCTGGAATAAAAATATTTTAGTTACTTTTTTTATATCAGTGACTAATTTATGGCAAGAAATTCATCATAATTTACGAATCTTTCTTTTTTCTACTCTCCAAGTATCTTTATAAATTTTTTGGTGTTGTGTCTGAAATAAAAAAATAGCTTAGTACAGTCGATTCTCTCTAAGTGCATGACCTCTAAGT